GTTTCAAGGGCTTGCAGTCGATATCACTGTCGATGGTGATATGACAAAGTCACTAAAGCAGGCTGGGACTGCTGCTAACAAGAATGGAGTTAATTGCAATTTGGTACGTCTCATGCCTGATCAACAAAGAGCATTAGATGTTAGTGCGCCAAGTCCTGTGAGAAACTCCTCTGCCCAGACTGCTACTAATACCTTGAAAGAGGCCAAGAGGCTTAGAGACTATGCTGATTATCTTAAGGTTTCCTGTTCTCATTTGACTTTTTAGCAAATCTTTAGTACAGACTTGATACATTTTTTTTTTTTTTTTTTTTTTTTTTTTTTTTTGTGTTTGTGCTCTTAACTCATACTGTGGTGTGGTTCTACTATGTTTTAGAACTCCGGGTTTGATTTTGAAAGTAGTGAGGCTTACTTCCAAGCTGCTCTGAACTTTCTCCAAGGAGCCGTGCTTTTAGAAAGTTGCAGTAGTGAGAATGGCAAACATGGAGAAATGACTACGTTGCAAGTGTACAGTACTACAGCTAAACTTTGCGAGTAAGTTAAATGCTCTAAGTTTTAAGAGAAATAGTTGTTTCTCGTCCTGATGACTTATGTCTCAGCCAATAGATTCAATTAGCTATTATTTGCATGCAGAGATGGTCCCTTTTAATTTTATAAAATATGTAATGCCCTATAAGTTTTGAAGCTTTTGTTTCTGCGTTCCTATAGCCTGGTGTTTGGCTCTGTGCTGAACCTTTTGAATTCACAGATTATGTGCCCATGAATATGAAAACCGCAAAGAAGTAGCTTCTGCTGCCTTGGCCTATAAATGCATGGAGGTGGCATACATGAGGGTCGTTTACTGTAAACATTCTAGTACAAACAGGGATCGGAATGAGTTGCAAGCTACTCTCAATATGGCTCCTCAAGGTAGGGAGGTTATGAATGATTTATGTGATAATCTTTGGATTTCATGTCAAGTTTCAGTTTTGTTCTTCCATTAGGAAATGGTTGCCATTTGAAGTTGTAGATTATTTATTCTAGTTCGAACGTTTATGTTACTAAACAATCATGTGGTAAATATGTTCAGTTGAAAATGTCAAGCCTTTAGAGATACTGTCTTTACTGTTATTTGCAGAACCATACTTATCATAACTAATAATGAAATATCTACATTATCTGTCATTTGTGATAAATATGTACAGACCGCTTCTGTTGATAAAAAACAGCAGAAGGTAGAAATCTGGGTGTTCTTATCTTTCCACTGAGAAAATATCAAACAACTCAACTTTTTTTTTTTTTTTTTTTTTTTTTGTCTTTAAACTCTTCACTGTTCAGGTGAGTCTCCATCATCTTCTGCATCAGATTTAGATAACTTGAACAACCATGTTGCTGCTGCTCGTAACCGCTCTAGTTTTGTCAGGCTGCTTGACTTTGTAAGTTGATTTAGTCTTGCACTCGGTCTCGATATGAATTTTTGCTAAGAAGTGTTCTTTCAAGGTGTTTCGATACTCACTTATTCAGGACCACAAATTCAGTACTATGAATCATGGATATATAGTGGATAAAAAAGTTAGGAAGCTGAATTGGAATTTCCAGCCACCGGATATTGCATAGATTAGCCAATTGTTATTGGAGTTTCAGTGAAAAAGAAAAAGAAAAATATATATTGTATGAAAGCTTCCAAGCAAGCCTATTTTTCTTTCTATAAGCATCTTGAATGACTTGTGATTAAAATATTTAGTTGAATTATAAATTCATAGGTTATCTCGTCTTGTGTGGGACCAGTAAGATATTTTCGCACAGATTTAATTGTATGGTAATGGTTTTACAATTACCAGCGTGCTACAAGAGGGTAAGATGAGTATGTATTATTTTGCAGACACAGGATGTAAATTTTGCAATGGAAGCCTCAAGGAAATCCCAGAATGCTTTTGCAGCTGCTTGCGCGACACTGGCTGATGCACATAAGAATGATTGTATTTATTATATTAGGAGGGTCATTGATTTCAGCTTCCAAGATTTAGAGGAGCTCATCCATCTGGTTAAGCTTGCAATGGAGGCCATAAGTCGATCCAAATTTGGTGGTGCTAGAGATTAAGTCAACCCTGTATATATTGAACGTTTTCATGGTTTCTCTCTTAAACAGGCAGGCATCAGGAAAAAAAAAGGAGAAAGGATGCCTACCTGGACCTTCACTTGAAAATCTGCAAAGAAGGCAGGTTACTGACAGTTCATATCTCTTCTGTACATGTGTACAAAGTGAGATTGATTACCAAATTTTATAATGTATTTTTTTGCAAGTTAAGTCTATTTTTGACGCCGATAAGGGCACATCATGCCCAGCCATAAGTTTTAATGGGTTGGGAAAAGAGGAATTAGTTGTTCGGGAGCATAGCTCAGAGATAATGTAATAGTTCAGTTATATATATATATATATATATAATTTTTTTTGGGCTCCTGTGATTTGGTGCTTGAGGTTTAAGAAAAAAATATCTATAGAGATTGGAAGATATTCTTAGGCAACCATTTTGAGAAGGTTGAATACTAGTGGTGATCGGTCAATGCTCTATCAAGCATTTTTCTGTTTTGTTACTGTTTTTCAGAATTTTGATGGAATGGAAACCAAATTCTTGGCCAAGGTTCCCTTTATACTTGAAGCAAAAAAAGCTTAAGCTTTTGTAAACATTGATTGTGCCGAGGACTGAAATACAAAATGAATCTTCAGGTATGTAATATTTTTCTTCACTGTAATGGCAACAATGAAGTCGTCTTTTGAGAAATGTGTTTTGTAAACTTTTTTATGTTGGTGTAGGTGAAATCAAAGAACTTTGGTGGAGCAACCCCTGAGAAGTTCAGACTTGTGACCTACTGGAGTACATACTAGGACCATCGCTGATTGTGAGTTCAAGTGTAAAAAAAAAAGGTTTACAAACATTATCCTACTCCAAGAATTACCCTATATTATTCATGTGTTTTTCTAATAATAAATTTTGCCTTGTATGTGGTGGGATGTATCAGTTTATGTCTGCATCAATAACTCGTGATGCCTTGATATGGCATATGAAAATTTTCTCGCAATTCATGCTATGTACTTGTGATACGTTGATATTTAAGAATAAACTTTTATATTTAGATTTTAAAAAAGTTACGAGGGTTCTTTCTTCTCGGTTGGAGTTGGTTGCTGAAGAGTAATTAGAATATCTTTTTGTTTTTGGTTTTTGTTAAGCATGCACTTGCTGTTATATTCTCAGCAATAAATATTTTATGATGTGGTTCATGAACCAATGACTCTAGTTCCTGGTGTTGGTCAGACCTTTGCTTATTGCATCAACTGAGTGCACGTGCTCATTGTTTCCCGGGCACTAAGCTTAATTGGTCTTCAACTTTTCATGCTACTTTCACTTGTATGCCAGATGATGTCATTCATTGTTTTACAAGCTTGTTTTTTGGAAATGTCGCCATTGATTGTTGAGTTACTAACTTTCGATCTATACCGAGCGAATGAGGGTCTACCTATTATGTTTCGCAAAATTGTAGATCTTATCCTTGTTGGCAACTGATATGGCTGCTTTACATTGAGCTTCAGTGTACAACAGTTTTAAATGCCTGACTTTCGGTTTGATTTGTTTGAGGATAAAGTTTTCTAGAGGCAGCGATGCTTGAGGGTATTCATACCTTTGTACTCCACTTTCAGTAACCACTCTCCTGTGATACCATCGTGGTGGTGGTCTCCCTCTCTCAGTTGCCTTTTTCGGTCAGCTTATATACAAATAGTTCTTTCTGTTATTTTTAGACATAGTAAGATAACGGTTTTTCTTCTGTGATGTGGGTTTAGTACATCAGTCGTGCCAGATGGGCGAGCTTTTTCTTGATTTGATTTTTGCCTTGAAACGATAGATATCCGTTTTAAGATTTTAATTATTATTAAGTTTTGTTCTTTGAGGATGTCAAAGCTGGATATTTGCCACAAGATACAGGTTTTCTCGAAGCAGGTTACTCTATTGGGTTTCAATTCACAAAGTGGGATCTTGGTTTATGCAGGAGAAGAATGGGTGCTGACTTCGGTCGCTAGCAGCAGCAGGTGCTGGTTGTTTACATTATGTATTTACTATTCTCTTCTCTTGTTTTTCTTTTTATTCCAACATGGAATAATCTTTTCAGTGTTGCCTCCATGATTTTCGCACTATGTATCGTACATGAACAATAACGTTAACAGTAATAATAGTTATCGGCATTTTTTTTCATCATCGGAGTTATCTGTTCTAATCATCATTTTATTTCTTTCGAGTTCTGGACCTTATTTTGTTTCTTGAAGATTTTCTCGAGGTTTCGACCCTTATGGTTAAACTGCTGTCTCATGGACTGCATGAGTAGGAGATTATCCGTGTTTGAAGATTTTCCGACACTAGAAGGCGAAATATGGTCAACAGTTTTAAGACTGATACTGCATAGATGGCTACTTGTAAATGTGGCAGAAATTTGATCCGAACTAAGAGATGGAAAACGCTGTTTGTTTAAGGCAATGCAAGGGTTTGACATCTTTGTTACTCTTTGAGAATTCATGGGTTTGTCATCTCCTTTGTAAGAAAGAAATTCTCTGTTCTGGACGTCCAAAAGAAATTCTCTGTTCAGGACGTCCTGAAAAAAAATTGTATTCTCAATTTTCTTCAACTTTAGTCTTCTTTATTATTTAGGTTTTAAGTGTAAGGCTTCTATCCATATGCCGCCTACTACAGGGGAATGATGCCTATTTTTGAGCTGACTTTGGTGTCAAATTTTAGATCTGAGACTAGAAACTAAAGTTTAAGCAACAATGTCAATAAATGAGATCAAATTTGACGAAAATTTGAGAGGCGAAGTTTCCTCAATGCGTTAATAAAGATGGGATGTCGTGCATAGAGAAAGACTGCCTTTCGGGGATCAAATATTAAGCATCCTAATACCATTACGATTATTATGGATATAAAGACATATTGAACACTAATCACCAAAAAAACCCTACAAATGCAGGAACCATTTTTAAAGTGATGAAATATGTTAACGTCTCTAACAAGAAACTCCCACTCAACAATCTCAGGCACCAATGAGCTTGAAAACTTCTTGACAATCCTTTTAGTTTGGTTACCAACGCAAATCCATCACCGTGCAAACCTACAATTTCCTCCTTGGCCTACTCCTCCACATCCACAAAGACCTTCCTCTTTGTTTCATCTTACCTTCCAACTTCCTCAACAAGGCCACCACCTCGCTCCCTCGCGCACATGATGATACATCTCCTGCGTCAACTACATAAGTTGAGTCCTTGACCTCAAACCGGTTGCGCCCAGGTTCTTTTTGCACTCTCGTACGCCTCATTTCTGACCTAAGACCATGAGCATTCTCCCACTCTCCGATCAATGAGTAAGCAATTGATAATTGAAGTCCAAGAAACAACATTCCTACAGCCCATCGAATCAAAAACCCGCTGAGCATTATCGATATCGTTGCACTCCCGTACATATCAACCAGCGAAGAGAAAACAACAAGGTTAGATCGAAAACACAAAAGTTCAACAGGCCCATGAACTCTTTTCCCAGTTCTGAGATTAGCAAGGATCGAACACTCATTAATCACAGTCGCGAAAGTGAACTCGTTGGGCAGAACCGTACACTCGGGCATCTTCCAAAAGAGCCAGAGAGCCATTCCGGGCTGACCCGTGTCGACGCAACCGGAGCGAGGTCCAGGACACAACGTTTGGTTCAGGCATTTCATCCAACGGCCGGCTTGCAAAGCCAATTCTTCGGAGCCTGACATAACAGTTGATGATATGGTTGGTGGTGAAACCGTCAAAGTGTCATATAAATAACCGGATTTTATGGTGGCGGAATGCTGTGAGTCTGCGGAGCCGGAACCTTTACAGTGCCGGAGCTGTTGAATGAGATGAAAGTTTGACGGTTTATTTTGGCGGGAAAGGTTTTAGGCGGTGAAACGTCGACGTTTCGTACAATTATAATTTCTAGAATAATTTCCTCCCTTATACTTTATAGTAAAGAATTTAATTTTGGACCTCAAAATACTATGTTTTAGTTTGGTAACAGTAATAATGTGTATCTATTTTACTATATCATTATTTCTTTGAAACTGATAAACCATATAAAATAAAAAAGTAATGCTACGTAGATTAATATTTTGACCACATTTGCAAGCCATGTAATGTGTCATCAATAGGCAATAAGCACGTTAATCAGTACTTAAGTAATAATCTAATCATCAACAATCACGTCATATAATTTACAAAATATATTTTAAATAGATGGTATCCACGACATTATTTACATGAAAAAGAAAAAGGTATAATAACTCAATTGTAAATGAGGAGAAATCTACATGAAATGGGTTCGCTAAGGTGATGGTGTTTTGATGAAAAGCGGTTAATTAAACAATTAAATTCTATTACTTAAGAGTCAACTATCTACTTTGATTGTGCCTTGATTAGTATAAATTAGTTAGTTATATTAAAAAATTAAATTCTAAATCATGAGTTAAACATTGAAATACAATCTGTTGTAATTACTCTTTGACTTTGAGTGAATCAATGAAAAGCAAACCAAATGGTGGTGACATTGAAAGCAATTAAAACTTTAGCTTGCCTTGGGCTAATGGAAAATTCTGCAGTGCACATATGGACCGGTGCACAATGCTTTCTAGCTCTTAAAAATTAGTGCATCAATCTGGGCCGGTCTTGAGAATGCGACAAAGGCCGAAGGGTTTAGTTGTTTAGGGTTTGGTGTGTGGCAATTTGAAGAGTGCGATAAAAGAAGTAACAATTTTTTTTCAAGTCAATAAGAATAGGTTTGAGTCACTTGACATTCCACCGATCACGTTCAAAACATGTTTGTTGTTTTTTATTCAATTAATTATATAAAATAATTCAATTTTACAAATGTTAAGCTCAACCGCTTAATCCAATGAGATATTATATTTAGATAAAGACTTAAGGTCTATAAATTTCTTATTTGAACATTTACAAGATTTCTAACATTAATTTATATGTACATAAAATAAAATAAAATAGATTGAGGGCCCACAGAAGGGCTTAGCGGTGGCCTACTCCAGCTACCTGAGCTGGCCCTAGCATCAATACACACGAGTATGCACATGCACGGGTGCACAATGCTTTCTACCACTTGAAAAATTGGCTTGATATTTAGTCGGTTGAGAACTTGATATTGCTTGCGCAAACAACAAGATTAATAAAATACTAGCATATGGGCACACACAAAGTGTGTGTGAATTTTTTTTTATTTTTGTTTTTGAAATAGAAGGAGAGTGGAAGAGAGTGATAGAGAATGTGAGAGTGAGACGTTTATTTATTTTATTTTATTTTATTAGAGATATGTTAGAATTACATGTAGGTGAGGCTTTGAAAAAAAAAAAAACAGCAAAATTTGGTTGTGTGAAATTACATTTCTGCCTATATTTCTTATTCATGTTCTGTTTTAATTAAAGGGGTTAAACTTGTAATTTTATAAGGTTTTGGTTGACAATGAGTGTTTTATTAATTAGTAGAGATAAATTGAGATTGATGGTGCCCAAGTCTTCTATGTTTTCAGAAAGAAACAATCAAAGATATCATGCACGACCATCTCCCAATCTCAATGACTATATATTACCATTCACTCTACTACTTGCTTTGGAATATCTCTGTCTACCTTCTGCTTATTCCTCATCACCTTCCTCAGATTATTCTAAGAAATAGTTTCAAACCTAGAATGTATGGGTAAAACTCAACACCCTATGATATTTAGCACCATATATCACACTCGCTACAAATATATTCAATTTTATATCCGTGTTAGTCAAACCTGAATCCTCCTTCCCTAATTAAATGTAGACAATTATCATACATAAAACTATAAAAGGCTAATTGGTAGTCTTTTTCAAAGAAATTATATCGTCAGTTTTAACTTTAGAACAAAACTAGTGCTTAATACATGCGCGTTGCCGTGGGTTTTAAGTTAAGATGTTAAAAATGAAAAAATTTCGGTAACAAAATAGGAACAACGATAGCAACAATGAATTTGGAAAAGCGTTAACTGGAAAAGGTTAAATTGAGATAATATAAAGATACAAATTATAGTTATCCATTATATTGTAGCAGTTGTATGTATTTCTGAACCAGGAGGATTACATTCAGTTACAAAAAATAGAAATTCCTGGTATAAAGATACAAAAAACATTATAATAACTGAATTTCTTCCAATAACCCCATCTAATATAGTGTGTTCCAGCTTTTGCATACAAAAAATGAGGAGATGCTGTTGTATGGGGATGCAAAAAATATTGTTGAGTTTTGGGCCAAAAAAGATATGTATAGGTTTTTAAACATGTTAAACATGATTTAATATAAATAAACAAAACACGGTAAACATTTTTGATCAGAGTAGTGAAAGGTGTCTTTAGTCCTTGTTGTCATGGATAAAACAACCTGAACAAAGAGGAATAGAATAGAACATATTTAGATAGGATTTAGTATCACATTTAAATGGTAATGGAGGAAAAGATAAAACAACTTGAAAGCATACTAACCTAATCATTGTTTCCAGTGCTGCTGTGTGGCTTTGCTTGAGTTGGAGGTGATTTTTTTTTTTAATAACTTTATCGGAACCTCATCACATTCTCTTGGATCAACTTCTGAAATTTCTTCAGATTCACTGAGTTGAATGATTATGCAACATTAATATAGTTTTTCACAGAAAAAAGAAAAGATGATTTTTTTCTAATAATTATTGAAAATGTTTGATATGTAAATTTTAAGAAAGTTGAAGTGAACACATGGAATTTTTTTAAAACATGATGTAAAAATATAAACATCATATTTGAGAATAGTATGAAATTAGATATCAAACCTTTGTTCACCAGGAATGAAAAGCGCTCTTCTCACAAATTCTCTTTTTCGTTTATAAGATTGATCACTTGGTTCAGGTGTTGACAACGATTCAAAAACAAAAGAAAAGGATTGGCAAGAGCGGGAGAAGCAACAAGGACAACGAAGAAAGCAAACAACTGCCAAAAGCAGGAGAAGCAAAGAAAAACAACAAAGAAAATTTCAAAAGAAAACTGAAGAAAGAAGAACAAAGGTAGAGATACTACCTTATGGCAATGACTGACACGTGGGCAGGTATGAATTTTTATTGTTTTTTGTGCCACAAATCATGTGGCCCAGTTTTAATCACACTTTTTTATTTTTTTTTCTTCTCATCAGATATACATGGGTTTAAAAAGTTAAGAAGGTATAAAAATTTTATTGTTTGTTATCACAGAAAAATTTTAAAAAAATGTACAATGATAAATTATACATATACTAAAACTCAGTTAGGTAGCACAATAAAGAACAAAGAAAAAGTCTCTTATTATAAATCACCTGCTTTGCTTATGTTTGAGCAGCTCTGGGAATCGATGGTTTTCATATCCTGCAAATTCGGACTCTTAACTTCGCTAGCTTTATATACGACTATAATTTATCGATAGGAGTTGGAGCTTTATTTTTCATTTACCCTGGTTAAACAAAGCATAAATTTTTTAATTTCTCTTTCGTTCTTTATTTATTATTTCCTATTTTCTCTACTCTAATTTAAACATCAAATTCATCCAAAAACAGAATTTTTTAATAATTATTTCCTATTTTCTATGCTCTAAATTAAACACCAAATTTACCCAAGAACATAAAATAAGCAAAAATAAGTGGGAAAAAAAAAGAAAAAAGAAAGAAAAGAAGAACGACATACCTGAAGTAGAACCAACGCGAAAATGGCAACACAACACCTAGGAAAAACGAACAACACCATTTCCTCAAAATACAAAACAGAACCAAATCATGCACCCATAATAACAATGACGACACACAAACGAAAAAAAAGACGAAGCACTGTTTGCTAAAACGTGAAAGAAAGAAGCAGAAAAAGCAAATGAAAAATTGAGGAAAGAAAGAGATAAAAATGAAAGATACAGGGAGAAGCCCTCTCAGCAGAAAATCCCCCGATGATCAACACGTGGAAGACAAAAAGCAGAGCAAAACAAAAAATAAAATAACCAAAGGCAAGGTGGAAGACAGCGGGCTTCTCACAATTTTTAATATTTGGTTTCCATGCATTCAAAATTTTTTATAATTTTTTATTGTGTTATGTGCCATAAACCTGGATTAACTCAATTTTTTTAAATATTTTTTGTCAGTTTTTTTTATTATTATTTTATCTTTCTTTGTGCCCACACTCTGCAGAGACTCTGCATTCAAATGTTTTTATAATATTTTATTGTGTTCTGTGCCACAAATCGTGTTTCGTGCCACCTACTGCAGGAGACTCGGCGTGGAAGGCAAAAAGCCAAGCAAAATCAAAAAATAAAATAATCAAAAGGCAAAGCAATTGGGACAGGTGGGTTTCTCATAATTTTTAATAATTATTTTGTCCATGCATTCAATGTTTTTATAATTTTTTATTGTGTTGTGCGCCACAACCTGATTTAAGTCATATCTTTTAAATAATTTTTTGTCAGTTTTTTAATTAATTATTTTATCTTGCTTTGTGCCACAATTCAACGATCATAGACACGCAACCTGGGAGGACAAAGGATGATCAACACGTGGCAATCATGGGCAATATAGGTATTTTATTGTGTGAAACAAGCATCAAAACGGTAATGGACTGAAAAAATCAGGGGCATTTCCGTCATTTTACTATTGCTGAACAGTGCTAAAACTCAACTGAGTTTTAGTATATATAATATATGTATATATTGTTAATGTTTACAGAATATATTATTGCATGACAGGGTGTGCCGCTGATTCGGTCATACATGGAATGATGAGATCAAGTGTGTATATATACAAATGAAACTTGTGACAAGTGTCGACATGGAGTGAAACAATTTTATGGGGGTAGAGTTTCCTCCAAAAGACATCAAGATTGGCGTGTGTGGGGGTCCAGTTCTAGTTCATAGTTCATTCATTGTGTTTTTGGACTTCATCTTGGGCACTACATTCAGAGACTGAAAATCTCTAAACTGAAATCCAATCCCTAATTACGGTTTTGTGTCTAAATATTTTCTTTACATTCAACAAATTTTTAACCAACCGCGTAGGTTACTCTTCGTAGTTAATATAAGGGGAGTGTTTTCTGATTTTTGCACTCCCTTTCAGCTCATGCACTTCTCTTATAAATTTATCTGTTGATTATTATTTATTATTATTTTTTATCATTTAATCCAATCACTAAACAAAACAGCAAAAGTGCGCCGAAAGTAAAGAGTGCGAAAATTCCACACTTAATATAAGTGAGTGGTGTTGAGGTATGGTGACTGGAGGATGGCAAGGGTGGTGATGTAGCACGAGCATATAAGGATTACAAATGTAAATCTTGAAGAACAAAATTTTTTGGAATCCACCAGAGATTGAGAGAAAACCCAAAAAATTTATTTGATTAATTCTGAATTGTTTTAATGATTACACTGAAATGGCCAAAGACTTTAAATAAACTGATTACTACTCCTTAAACAACTCAGTAGTTAAAACAACATTAATTTGATATTAATCAGACGACAACTCAAAGGTCTGATTTCTATTATGAAAATTAAACGTTGTTTTGGAGGTTGAAACGACTTGGTTGGCTAAAATTAATGTTTTAAAAGACTCGCCTTGGGGCGCCCCTAGGCGGCCTCGAAGGTTAGTTGGGTGGCTTGCCGCCTCTGTTTTCTAGGAGTCGGCATAAGGCATCACCGGCGGCAAAGGTGCACCTCAGGGCGTCCAGGAGTCCATGCGTCTTTTTTTTCTTCCATTTTTTGCTTTAAAAAAAAATAAATAAATAAAAAAAGAAAGCCCCAAAACCATGCCCAGCAAAGAAGATGAGTTGCAGAGCCGAAGAAGATGAAGAAGATAGACAGTCTCCTGGCTTTTGGTTTTAAAATAATTGCTTTCTCTTTAAAATTTAAATAGACCCACTTTGCTATTACCCCACTATCTTTTTTTTTTATTCACTTTTATTTTTATATTATTTTTTAGATGGATACATAAGCATCCTTTGTTTCTTCTTTGTTTTTATTATTTATAGATAAGCATTTTTTTATGGATATCCTCATAACATCCCAACAGAAAGAAAAAAAAGTAAACATGTTTTATTTTTATTGTTTTTTATCGTTGTATATTCTTTACTTAAAAGAAACATCACATTATCTTATTCCTCTTTTTTAAGACTACATATTTCATCCTAATATTACTCAAAACTCTCATATACATATTAATAGCACTTAAGACTAGGTGTCTGATTCCATTTGTTTGATTGTTAGATTGATTTGATTGATTGGTTAAACTTGTTGCCTTGTGCACTTTTGAATGATATAAATATTTTTACAAAGTTTTATATTTTATATGTATATTATATAATAAATGTATATATACATATATTAAAAAATTTAGATTTCATGAGACTTCGCCTCATGCTCCTAGGCTTTCCCCTAGACGGAGCTATCCATGAAACATTTCGTCCACGCCTTCGCCTTTAAGACATTGGCTAAAATCCATCGTATGAGATGAAGCCAAATTTACAAATTTCCACTGTATCCTTTTGACTTCATTTCCTCTTCAATCCATCTGACCATTTGTTTTGCATTAGGTAACAATGACATGATGAGAACACTGGATCTGGTCTGCAAAAATGAAGGCATCTGAATAGCACTTGAGAATGGCCCCTACTACCACCACCCAATAAGTCTGCACAACAGACAATTTGCATGGACTACCACCACACCACACTGTTGGAACTCAGATTCCTTTCTCTTGCAAGAACAACAATTTACTGCATCACATGATCATACCAAAAAAATATATGAATGAACGATGTGGTCACGTGATATTATCATTTCATATATTATAATTAATATGATTAATATTTTACGGAGTTATAATATGGTGGAATAAATGGATGCATTGTTATAAGTTGACACGTGTTATCAAAGAGTAAAATCAAGAGCATCAATTAGCAGTGTAACAAGCCCACCGAAAAATTTACCATAGGCAATATTCGCCAATAATTTGATTGTTCCTTAGTCCAAGGGGGATACATGTATGACTTGTTTTAGAAAGTGCATAAATCTAGGCCCCCACAAGCTCACACACCCAATGTTTGATGTAACAACAACAATAGCAATATTGAATTACAAGATCTAACAAAGTGCCTAACCTCAATGGTTCTCTCCCCCTATAAATATAGGCTTCTACAAGACTTGAGCTACCAAATAGAATCTAACCAAATCTACACAATTTGCTTTTTTTTTTTTTTTTTACCTCCAAATTGTGCTTCCTTCCCAAATGGCCCCAGAACCCATTCACCCTATCAAGGTTGGTCACATCGATGATGTCCAAGAACTCAGAAAATCCAAGCCTTCCATTATTCCTGAGAGATTTGTGAGGGACATGACTGAGAGGCCAACTCTTGCCACTCCCATGCCATGCTCCACTGACATTCCCACCATCAATTTCTCAAAGCTTGTAAAAGGAACCAAAGATGAAATCAAAACTGAGATTTCCCAACTTGCAAACGCCTCTGAGAACTGGGGCTTTTTCCAGGTAAAACTTTTTCTTTTTACTTGTATGAATAACATGGTAAAGTAGACTTGGGTTTAGCCAAGTTGGTTATAGAAGTGTGCATTCTTCTTTGCACCCAAGTTTGAACCTTCTAAACTCCATTTCCATGATTTAGATGGAGTAGTGTAGAAATATCACTTGTATAAAAAAAAACATGGCAAGCCATAGAAGCTAATGATTGGTCCGATCGAGGTGACTATTATATGGCAGGTGGTTAATCATGGGATTGATCTGAGTATACTTGAGAGCATAGAGAAGGTGGCCAAGGAATTTTTCATGCTGCCTTTGGAAGAGAAGAAGAAGTATGCACTGGCTCCTGGGACTGTTCAGGGATATGGCCAGGCTTTTGTGTTATCAGAAGACCAGAAATTAGACTGGTGCAACATGTTTGCTCTTGGGGTTGTACCAAACTTTATAAGAAGCCCCATGTTATGGCCAACAAACCCAGAAAATTTTAGGTAAAGTTTCTTCTATGCTTCAAAATATGCAGTTTTTTTTATTGGCATACTGTTTCCATGCAAGTGACATTTTGATATATGTAAAAACAACTCATTGGGGTGAGTACCTCAACACAAAAAATTTATGTTCACGTGTCAAACGTTTTAATTTCTTCGGCAAAGCCAAGTAATTTCTTTTTATGATTATTAAAATCTAAAGTCTAAACCTTTTCCTTAATTTTTTTTCCCTATTTTTTTTCCCTAACTCAAGTGAAAGTGTAGAGGTCTATTCAACGGAAGTGAGGAAACTGTGCCAGAATCTGCTGAAATACATAGCCATGAGCCTTGGCTTGAATGGTGATGTGTTTGAAAAGATGTTTGGGGAGGCTGTGCAAGCCCTAAGGATGAACTACTACCCTCCATGTCCAAGACCTGACCTAGTATTGGGACTAAGTCCACACTCAGATGGAAGTGCCCTCACAGTTTTGCAGCAAGGGAAGGGCAACTCAGTGGGACTTCAAATCCTCAAAGATGACAGATGGGTCCCTGTTAAGCCCATTCCCAATGCACTTGTCATCAACATTGGAGACACCATCGAAGTGAGTAAAAATATTGGTAGCATAAGAAAATCTTTCCTAATAGAGGGACGTGCGGAAAGCTCTCTTTTGAGATTGAGGGTGGGTGATTGCAACTTCTGACTGATGAGCTAATCTCGCATAATCCTAGATATTGATTATTAAAAGTGGTATTTGGTGTGTGATTATTTTACTAACATAAAATGAAATGCAGGTTCTTACAAATGGGAAATACAAGAGTGTGGAGCATAGAGCAGTGGCTCACAAGGGGAAAGACAGGCTTTCAATTGTGACATTTTATGCTCCTACCTATGAGATAGAGGTTGGCCCAATGGAAGAATTGGTGGATGAAAACAACCCATGCAATTATAGAAGATACAATCATGGAGAGTACAGTAAACACTATGTAACAAACAAGTTGCAAGGCAAGAAAACCTTGGAGTTTGCCAAGATTCAAACCAAATCTCAAACTATTCCATTGTAGCACGTATGTGTTTCAGACCAAACTAGGTGGTGATCAAGCAGTTTATTCTCTGGACAAGACGTTCGTTCGTTACTAAACGGTAGACTGTCGAAATAGTATAATGGAATGTTATTGATAATATATTAATAATATAATGTACCGACATGTTATCAAATGTACTGCATGAATTGTCATATGCATGCCAAGGGGGTGGTAAATTATTGGGTTGCACTGTTCATACGTAACTCATTTTGTACAATCTCTCCAATCAATGGAATCCTATGGAGTTTGTGGGTTTGGAAGCTTTTTCTTATCAAATTGTGTTTGTATATTTAGTGTCGATGCAAATTTCCACCGTCTCCAGTCTTGATGAAAATGCACCTGTAAAACAATTAACACATTTGATCAAGGATCTAAGCCTCACGTGTCCACAAGGTGGGGGGGGGGGGTTTAGGCCAATAGATCTTCGATGCCTAAGTCAATTTCTTTGAGAGAGTAAAGTATTTAGGACTTTTTAGGGGTAGGAAAAAGCTCCTGAAATTTGGTAGAATATGGAGTATATATAGGGGAGAGGGCCGACCATCGTGCTAGGGTTTTACCCTACACATGACGGCATCGTAATGGCCAATGTTTATGGAGAAATATTCTCAAGATATTAAATAGGAAATAATATGTTGAGATAATGGAGTAATTATCCCTAATTGATTTAAATTGGGATTACTTACTTGATTGGAGTCATTCGTCAATTGGGAATGTATTAAAGATAGGATTTGGGTAATTAATCCTTATCTTTAATGCTTTGACTTTTCCTTGCCAAGGGAAGGTGAGCTGTGAGCAGTCGTATTTAGCTGATAGGACCTTCAAGGGTGTGAACTGCGTGTGGGAGTATTTGAGAAGCCTGCCCATTTATCGAGGGCAATCTTGTCTTTCTTGAGCAAAAATTCATGTGTCGCCTCTAGAATTTTTAGGATTATTTTTGGTTTCCACAAATGCCCCCACACCTACTAGGATGCACATAGGAAAAGGGCAGTAGGTTTAGAAATCCTAAGTTGCATGGGCTTGAAGAGTTGTTTCCCAATTTGAACTTGATCTCCTTTCTTGATTTGGAGATAGACTTCTTCTAGGAAAAGGAAATCCATTGGCCTTAATACCTATCTACTTCTGCCTTAAGCAGGGGATTAAATAATTTTGGAGAACAATCATCATTCTAATAGGGAAGAGAGAAGCCAGATGAGATTTTTCTTCCCTCTCCCCTAACTTTCTTCTTCTCTTGCCCTTGCAAGAAGTCATCTCTCGTTGTTGTGTTTCTTCTTTGTGCCGCACCAAGGTAAGAAAAATTTGAATTTTCTTCTTCTTGAATTTTTTGGGAGTCTTGGGATTTGAAAAATTGGCTCGGCGAGGGCCAAGGAGGCATGACTGACGTGGCAGGGATGCCACAGGGCTGTTGTGCACAGTGGGTAGCGTGGGCTGTTGGTGGTACGGCGCGGGGAGTGGTTGGCGTGGACCGGGAGCTCAACTCAACATGGGCCAAAGGTGCAGGGGCATAGAGCTAGGCTTGGGCTTGCTAGAGCTTAGAGGAGAGGGAGAGAGTCGCGAGGCGTTCGCCCTCCTCGCTGATGGACTGGGCCGAGAGGCTATTGGGCCGGCTGTGGTGCACTGGATGTGAGAAAGAGAAAGAGCCGAGTTTGGGCCGTGGGGCCTGGTGTTGGGGCGTTGGGCTCTGTGGTCGTTTTATTTTATTTTTTTGTTTCTTCTTCTCGCAAGTTGCCTTCTAAATATTTTTCTTCGTACTTTTTGCAGAGATTTTAAGATGTCTTTCTTCGATCGTAAAAGTGACGAATATCCTTCACCTTTGTACCGTCAAGGTGGTTCTTCTAGTAAGGTGAGCTACTTCAAGGCCGCATATGTCAAGATCAATTTCGATGACCTGTTTCGGGATTTTCTTGAGACATACAAGCATGCGATTTCGTTAGGGGTTTGCGTCACATGAACCGTGCGGTGAGGGTGCCACTGCTAGGAAGAGGGCTATCAAATTCTATTTGTATTACTTCGTGTTGGGATTTACTTTTCCCATGCCACGTCTTTTCCAGGAGGTGATCTACTCCACGAAATGTGCGCCTGCTCAATGCTCCTGGAAAACAGTTCGTGCGATGGTGGGGTTCTCGAACTTAAGAAGGTTCTTTGATTTTAGCTTGACCGTAAATGAGGTGTTGCCATAGATTGCTTGATGCTTCATGCAAAGGTGGTCATGAGTGGGCGAAAGACACCTTGGAGGTTAGGGGAGAGTTGGAGTTTGACTCCTTTCCTGATCTGTGTGTTCCGACTGCCTTTATCAATGGTAAGTGAACTGCTTCATTCTTGGTATGCTTGAATTTTTTGTTGAGCTGCTCCATGACTTCAGTTTATTGATCGTTTTGACCTGCTTGCTATAATTGCTATTTGATGGAGGTAGAATCTTTTTTTTGCACTTCAGCTGCTACTGCTGGGGCGAAAGACTTATTCTTCGACTCCTTGAGAACTTGTATAGTACATCTCCAGGACATGGCCTGGTCACCTTTGATCTCTCCGACTGCTCCTCCTGGGATGTGAAATAGGATCTTCTGATACTCGATCGAGGTTATAGCTTTAATATTCACTAATCAGGGTTGGCACAATATCCTATTATGGGGAGATGCTCGTAGATGATCATGAAGGTCTGGGATGAGATAATCGGTGGGCTGGTTACGTCGATCATGATGGTGCCAATGGCAATTAAGGTAAGTCCGTTGAATACGGTCATGACCTCTGATTTGCATTTGATCATGCTTTCTAGGCTCATCTTCTGGATGACTGATAGTTGTAGGATGTTGACTGAGCTGCCGTTGTCCACCATAATTCTATCAACGATGGCGTGGGCCAGTTGAATAGAAATCACCAAGGCGTCGTTGTGGGGAAAGTCTACTCCCTTTGCGTTTTGCTCGGTGAAGCCGACGATTGGTCCAGGTATAACGTCTATGGCTTGAACCTGGACGACCAATCTCACCAGCTGAATCTTCCTTTTCTTATAATTGCTAGTGACCCCCAGATGCTCAGACTCAGTAAAAATGTCGTTGATTCGGACTGTCTTGGTTAGGGGTTCGGCATCGGCATCTACTTCTTGCCTTGATCGGGTAGCTGATCTATCTACATACTAGTTGCACTTGCCTTCCTTCATAAACTTCTCAAGGTACTTCATCCATATAGTGTAGCCGTTGGTTGTGTGCCCCGAACCTCTGTGGAATGCGCAAAACTTTGTATGGTCCATCTTGGAGGTGTCTTCTCTCATAAGTGGCGGTGGCTTGAACCATGACTTGTCCTTGAGGTGGTAAAAGATTTGGTTGATTGGGACTGAGAACTTGGTGTACATCTTGGGCACCGTACCTCTCTTCGTCAGGGATCGGTCCCTGCATCTGCTTCCTGGCTTGTTTTTGTCGTTGAGCAGTTTATCGCTCCCTTTTTTTTTAGTCGGCTCTGCGTCTTTGCGCCGCTGCTCAAGCGACTTCTGGGATCGCTTAGCCTCATCTCAGAGGGAGTGCTTTTCTGCCAAAGCATAAGAGTCTGCCAGGGTCAAGTTCTCGCTCATGATCAATTTTTCAAAAAATGGGTGCTCTGCCAGAAGCCCATTTCAGAAAGCTGAGCATGCAATGCTGTCATCGTATTCGACAATCTTCACCTTCTCTGCCTTAACCGCTTGATGTATGTGCGGAGTGACTTCTTCTGGTCTTTCTTCATGTTGAAGAGGTGGTTAGAATTTTTTTTATTGAGCGGTAGGACGAATATTCCTTAATGATAACCAAGGAAAGTTCGCAAAAGTTATGAATTGAGTGCGGCGATAGGTGTAGAACCAGTCTTGCGCCTCACCTTGGAGTGTCGTGGTAAAGATCTTGCACATGAGAGCATCGTTGTTAGCGTAGAGGGTTATGGTGCTTCAATAGTGCATCAAATGCATGTCCCGATCTTCATCACCTTTGAACAAGGTGAAATGTGGTGGGTTGAACTTCCGAGGTGGCTCTGCCTGCTCGATCTTATATGTAAATGGTGACCTGCTCAGGTTGGCCATGTCTTTATAAAAGTCATCGTCGGTAGTATCAATGAGCTAGAATCCGCACAATTGCGTTGCTACGAGCCTTTGTACTTCCTCCTGGATTTACTCTTGGTAGGGCAGTGGAGCCTTCAGCTGCCCCAGTGTTGACCTGCTGGTCCATGTTGCTCTTCGGTATGTCCTGCTCATCTGTGTCGCGGTTGCGGTGCACATGGTTCGTTTAATGCTGTTATCGTGCTCTTTTCGGTTCGCCATGTGGCTGCCTACTCTGGTGCCTTGTGGGGCTAGCCTCATATGGACGCTTTGCCTGGAATATCTTGAGTGCTCATCGGAGTGTGGACCTAACCTCGAATGCACACCGACTCGTGAGCCAAGTCGGGAATGAACGTTTCTTTACGCATCTAGGTGGGATAAGACGTTTTCCCAAAGGCCTAAACGAAAGTGCACATTACTTAAACGCGAGGTTCGTGGCTGGCTAAACGGCTCTTTGCCGGGACATCACTGGAATGAGTCATATTCTTCCGCTCTTGTCCTACTTTGGGATACCTCGTCTGGGGCGCACTGTGTCTCGATACGCTCAAGGAGTTGGTTCACCAAGGTGGTTTGCTGCGCGAGGGCGTTCCTCAAATTGGCAACCTGTTAGGGCAGGTGGTGCTTGCTATTTGGATTGGAAGAGTTTAGATAATAGGCATCTCTATGTGTGGTGAAATATAGTGGACTGCAGGTACAAAGCTTAAGCCCAAATCGTGCATTCCTACATAAAGGTGGGGTGAAAATAACCCTGAGTTGATCGTATGACCGGTGGTCGGAATCTGGATCACCGGAGGTGGCCTCAGATTAGATTGGGTCGCGGGCCGAGTTGTCGGAGCAGGTTGTGGGGTGGGCTAACCCAGCTGGGTGGTTGGGCTATGAATGTGAGCGCGTTGGGCTTGCGTGTGTGGTGGCTGGCATTGGGCCTGCACTGCGTTCTGGGCCAGCGCATGCTCCTCGCATTAGGCTTGGGCTACATATGTCGCAAGTAGGGCTCGGCTCGGCTTGGGCTGCTAGCTGCTATGGCTTGGGCTTCCTGGGCTCGACTCGCGGCTCCGTGGACCTGGGCCTCATGCCCGTGGGTTAGTGGATAGAACTGGGCCTCCTGCCCAGGATTTTGATAGTCTGTGTGCTGCAAGGGCAGCGGTGTGGGGCTTAGGCCGTGGCATGGTGGCCTTGTCGTCGCTGCTGGGTCTACAACGATGTGGTGATGCGGCTCCACGGCGG